GTGATAAAAGTGTGACGTACAAAACCGAAGTACTATGTACTTATTGATTGAGTGGTAGGAGCGCAGCGAGGTCCTTGCTTGATGACCGAGAGCCAAATATTTTCGCGTCCGGCCCAACCAAACTCAGTCAATAAGCAGTTTATCATATAACCACTAACTGTTGAAAATTTTGACCTAAATAGGACGCAATAGACGGGCATATGAGCACAAATCTTTTTTTTTGTCTGTATAAGCGCATAAGAGTCTCGCATAAGAAGATGTGTCATGACACTGCGCGCTCACGAGGAGAGATGTTTTAAAATTCTCAGAAGAACTAAAACTTTCTTAAATTCAATGTTATTGCATACATAGTATAAGCGTACTTTTCCGTTGATCGGATGCTTCATATCTCCACCGTCAAATGGCTTTCTTCAAACCGTTAAGGTTTTATACAATATATTTCAACCTCATTAGCTAAGATGGTTAATCATTGTTTAATTTGAGAAACTGATGGTTTCCACAATCACGTGATCAAAAACTAAAATCAATCCTATATTGTGACATATTTATCACGCAGAATGTCCTCTACTGATGTCAGTAGAGGCGGCCCGAGCTCACATCTCGAGAAAAAGCAAACGATTAATTCATGAAAGCGTCAGGCGTTTTGTAACTCGATGTTAAGTTACGAGAATTGATCACGTTGTAAAGAATAGTATGTGGAACCAAATATGGTCGATCTGTAGTTATAAAAGTGTGACGTGCAAAACCGAAATAGATTCACTGCGGAGTAAACTGTTGATCGATTTTCAATATCAGTTCATGAAAAGTTGATTGTCGCGCATAGATAGCTTACCGTTTAAAGGAAGAAGCTTTAGTTCTACTGGTATCGATCTTGTAATGAAATTCCAATCTTTGAAAGGGATGGACACAGAAGTCGGACGTTTCCTGTTAAAATAGATTGAAATAAGTTATTTTTACATGGTCAATTCCGTCATTGGTTATAAAGTTGTGACGTACAAAACCGAAATTCATTCGTTTGAGTTAGAACACTTAAATCTTTTGAGTAAATGCTGATTCGCTCTCCATATCTCCCTCTCATTAAATACTTTTGATCACAGTTGTCATTCATAATCACAAATTGGCGGTAACAGTGTTTGATAGAGGGTCTTAATAAGGTTAACCGTTGGCCGTAAAAATTAGCCGTTAGGCGTGAAAATTGACAAATTTTAACCGTTATTGGCAAAATAGTTAACCGTAAAAAACATTTCTGGTGACAACAATGGAAAGATATTAACTGTTAGCCGTAAAAGCCACGGCAACATCCCTTTGCGACCCTCTTGATACTTAGAGAGGTATCCTCTCCTATTTAAAAAATTTTCTCAACTCCTCAGATTCTAATAAATAGTACATAACCTGTGAAATATCTATGGTGTCAGTTGCATATGATAGCAAACAATCACGGTAAAAACCTTTTTGATGTCAGTTATTTACCACTGATTTAAGACGTCGTATACTTCTAGGGGGGTTTCAATGGGGTTAACCAACAGCAATAAAACAGCCAAAAATATTTAAGCGTTAAGCTAAAAATTGTAAAATTTTAACCATAAGTCGTAAAAAAAATTTAACCTCAAGAAAAACAATTTCTGGCAACAACTCATGGAATGATGTTAATCGTCAGATGTAACATGGCCAAAATTTTAACCGTTAGCCGTAAAAACCATCACCCCATTGAGACCCTCCCTCTACTACAGTGAGCCCATAATTCTCAAATGCGACTTGTTTGGCTTTGACCGTGTAACCTTCGAAAATGAAATTTCCCCGAATTTCGCTCAGGATTAAATCAGGTAATGTTGACATCAATACTTAATTAGACGGGAGACAAGCTCATCAAGCTTGTAATTGTTAGTTATATCTCGAAGTCAAGGAAGAACTTAAGTCATATATAATTACTATCGTTCAAATCGGTATTACTATCGCTCGGTGTTAGTGCCCTCTTGTTGCAAGCTTCTCGCAGTTGTCTGAGGAAAAGAGAAAGCAAAAAGGTTAGAGCAGCGCGAATTGCCGTTGAGAGTTTTCAGGAAAGTGCCTTCCGGATGCGCGCATCCTACAACGTAATTGTAGTCCAGTCCATTTCCCCCACCTCTCCCCTCCTCAAAAGAAATATGAAGGACTAATAAGTATAATTATTGATTGTTACTGAAAGTCAAGCCACCTCCTCTCTGATGTCATTTGCTTGTTGCCATATTTCCGTCGCTGGATTAACGTCTTCAAAGGTAAGACCAGTGATGTTGTTATTTTCGAGCAAATTACCGATCCACTCCGTCCGTTTTTATCTATTAGAACAGTTACTGCCTTTTGTCTTTGATCATGCAAATCACACCCTCAAATAAATGAAAAGTTCATGAATACTATGGGTCAGTTTTCACGCACAGGTAGCTTACTGTTTAAAGACAGAAGCCTTAGTTGTACTCTCGATCTGATCGATCTCGTGATGCAAATCCAACCGTTCTAAGAGGGATGAACAATACAGCTTGACGTTTTCGGTTAAACAGAGTAAGATGTTTCATTTTTAGATGCATAAATCCATCGTTAGCTAGAAAAGTGTGACGTGCCAAATGAAATACAGTCATTTAGCTTATTATTATTATTATTATTATTATTATTATTATTATTATTATTATTATTGGCTTCGATCATGCAAATCACACCCGCTAGAAAATGGAAAGTTCACGAAGACAATCAGTCGATTATCACGCACAAATAAATGAATTCGTCGCGATGCTGGACTTCAAAGCTTTGTGGTCTCACATATTGTTCATCATTCTTATCAGCTAAGAATAGATTCGTTTTCACTGAAATTCATCTGATAAGTAGGCTCGTTACTTGGTAATAGCCCGCTGCAACAAAATTTTAAATCATTCAGGCCTTATTGCGGACTGTCAGGAAATTTTCCAGGAAGTTGTAACAAAAGGTTATCTTTCTCGTTAGCCTAAGAATTGAACGCTTTAAACTCGACTGCATATAACTTGATCCCAAGAGGCTTCATTGTAAATACGCTCTGACAGCCGGTACAAATCCAGATGGAAAACGATGTATAATGTTGATACAGCAGGCCACTCTCTGCTGGTTTCTTTGGGGAATACTGACAGTACAACATCATTGATTTCCCTAGATTATCAAATGCTCTAATGAAGGGCTAACACTCGAAACGTCAGCTTCAGAAACTCATTACGATGGCCAATTTACATTGCCAACTTAGTTGGTAAAGCCAAAATATTTTGTAATACCCCACCAAAGTTTCTTTAGAAACTTACCCCGTTGATTTATGAATGTGAATGAAGTAGCTGCCTAAGGAGACGTTGGTGATCCATCCTCTCAACATGGCCGGGCCATTTTAGGTTCATCTGTTTTAGCAGACAGTCCAAGTCTCAACACCGTACAATAGAGTAGCCAGTATTGACGCTCTGTACACTTTGCATTTCACACGAACAGACACATGTCGTTTATTTCACAGTCTCTCTCTCAAGTTTCCGAACGCAGAACTTGCTTTTCCCATTGTGAGAGATAGTTCATCCTCCAGCCATGCATTCTCTGAAACAGTACTCCCGAGGTACTTGAAAGTCTTACACTTGACTAGTGATTCTGTACCAGTGCTGATCTCTTCTAGCAGTAATGTTGAAAACTGGAACTTTGGCGGTTGGTAAGGGCATTCTGTCTTCTCGCTGTTGATTTTGAGGCTGAATTGATCGGCTGTTCTCGCAAATTTCTCCAATGAAGATTGCATATCTTCTGCGCATGCACTGTGTGCAGCTAAGGCACTGTCATCGGCAAAGAGCATTTCTCTCACTACCTTCGTCGATGTTTTACTCTTAGCTTTAAGCTGTGCCACATTGAACAGGTCTGCTTCTTTCCTTGTTTGAATGTATACTACTTCTGAAGTGTCTTTGAAGGCCATCTCAAGCATCGCTGACAGATAGTAGCGAGAAGAGTGTAGGCGTCAGTACACACCCTTGTTTAACCCCGTTGCTTACTGAGAAGTCTTCAGACACTGAAACACTCATTGCCACGTTAGAAAAACCTGTATGGAGTGCCTCGATCACGTTGACAAACATCTCTGTGCAGCCATATTTCTTGAGTACCTGCCAAAGTCCTTGTCGCGATACAGTATCGAAGGCTTTACCGAAGTCAATGAAGACTACATAAAGTGGCGTGTTCTGTTCGATACACTTTTCTTGAACCTATCTCAAGCAGAAAATCAGAAGTGTGTTCATTGAGCCTGTTCAGAAGTACGCGTGCGAGAATCTTACCTTTATCTTCTTTCACCTCCCCTGTGTTGGTCATTGTTGGGGCATACACGCTGAGGAAAGTGGCATACATCTTTCGCTGTAGTGGGAGTCTCATAGTCATTATTCTGTCGTTGATTGGCACTGGTTCCTCGTCCTTGTTAACCCGGGCGACGTCCGAGCCGGTATGAGTTGTTTTCTGACTGACCATTTTATGAAACTGCTTGCAAAGAACTGAAGCACTGCTAGCTTTCGCTGGATTAGCAGCACATTATCGGCAGATGAAGGTGTTTCAGTGGCAAGGATAGGCCAAGACAAACTGACTCCAGCATCTGTTGCAGTAACTAACCAAATGATAGGTTAGTTTGTCTCCGCTCTTTTTGAAATGCATTGCACAATGCACCGACTTGCAAAAGTCCGCCACAAACCTTACGACAGAAGTGTTGATCATCTACAAGGATGTCCATTCTCACCCCGAGTAACTGGGAGTGGTCCACCACAGACCTTAAGACAGATACTGTTTTTAATTCTGTCAGGATGCCCAGTTTCACCCTCCACGCTCTCTATGGGGCGGGGTTGCCGGTTGAGTCGACTTCCCGACCCATGAGACGGGTAGTACTGGTTTTTATGGTTATCCAGTAGCAAGCAAACCAATACCTGACCTGACTTGGTGATAAACTGCTAGAAAAACATTTTCTAATGTTCCCAGAACGTTGTAGTGAAAGGATCGATTCTTCGATGATAACTTCCATGAACATCGCCTTACTAGTAGCCCTGTTCCTGCTAAACTCCGATCGCATTCAGAAAGCCATTGAGATATGCAACGAATGTTTAATTTTGCTAAATAACAGCGATCAAAACAGCAAAGATCAATTTGATTCAGTGCCACTACAATTTGACAGCGACATCTATACAGTTCTTTACAGCGCATATCGTCATATCTCTGACGACGTAAATGCGGCAAGATACGGCAGGAAACTGCATGTCTTCTACAGCAAGTATGGAATTCTGTTTTATAAACTTGGCGAAAACCTAAAAGCGAAGGAATATATTGCAAGGGCCCTTATCATATCGACCGAAATTGGCAACAAAAGCGGAGAAGCATCCTATTACGTAAACCTTGGTGCCGTGTTTAAGTCGCTCGCAGAATACGACAAGGCTAAAGAGTATCTCTACAAAGCGCTTGTCATCACAACTGAAATTGGCGACAGAAATGAAGAAGGAACATGTTATAGAAACCTAAGTACTGTGTTTCAGTCGCTCGGAGAATACGACAAGGCTAAAGAGTATCTCCACAAAGCGCTTGTCATCACAACTGAAATTGGCGACAGAAATGGAGAAGGAGCATGTAATGGAAACCTTAGTACTGTGTTTCAGTCGCTCGGAGAATACGACAAGGCTAAAGAGTTTCTCCGCAAAGCGCTTCTCATCACAACTGAAATTGGCGAGAGAAATGGAGAAGGAGCATGTTATGGAAACCTAGGTAATGTGTTTCTGTCGCTCGGAGAATACGGCAAGGCTAAAGAGTATCTCCACAAAGCGCTTGTCATCAAAACTAAAATTGGCGACAGAAATGGAGAAGGAACATGTTATGGAAACCTAAGTACTGTATTTCAGTCGCTCGGAGGATACGACAAGGCTAAAGAGTATCTCTACAAAGCGCTTGTCATCACAACTGAAATTGGCGACAGAAATGGAGAAGGAGCATGTTATGCAAACCTAAGTATTGTGTTTCAGTCGCTCGGAGAATACGACAAAGCTAAAGAGTATATCCACAAAGCGCTTGTCATCACAACTGAAATTGGCGACAGAAAAGGAGAAGGAGAATGTTATGCAAAGCTAGCTACTGTCTTTCAGTCGCTCAGGCAATACGGCAAGGCTAAAGGTTATCTCGAAAAGGCGCTTGTCATCACAACTGAAATTGGCGACAAAAATGGAGAAGGAGCATGTTATGGAAACCTAAGTAATGTGTTTCAGTTGCTCGGAGAATACGACAAGGCTAAAGAGTATCTCTACAAAGCGCTTGTCATCACAACTGAAATTGGCGACAGAAAAGGAGAAGGAGCATGTTATGCAACCCTAAGTACTGTGTTTCAGTCGCTCGGAGAATACGACAAGGCTAAAGAGTATCTCCACAAAGCGCTTGTCATCGGAATTGATATTGGTGATAAGAAAGGAGAAGGGGAATGTTATCACATCTTGCAAACCTTGGACATCTCTCTGCAATTGTTGGAAATTATGAAACCATGGACATTTCAATTGTTGAAGTATGCTTGATGCTTGAAGAAAGCTTTATCCATATCCAGAGATATTGGAGATAGAAGACAAGAGTTCCGAATCCTTCAATATTACGCCCTTATGTATTCATTTCAAAATAAAATCAAAGACTCCCTAGCATGTCTTCATTTGTGCATTGAAAAGTACGAGGAGCTGAGATATTTCTTGGGGGCCAATGATGAGTTCAAAACATCATTTCTGGAGCACTCAGGAATATTTCCCTACAAGCAGCTTAGTACTCTGCTTTGTCATACCGGAAATGCCCTTGAAGCTTTCTATGTTGAGGAGTTGGGTCAAGCAAGAGGTCTATCAGACTTGATGGCAGAGAAGTACTCGGTTGAAACGCAGATCTCTGCTAATCCACAATCTTGGTTTGGCATTGAAAACAGTTTTAGAAAGAAAAATAACTGTGCTTGTCTGTACATTTCTTATTTTAACAATCATCTGCATTTGTGGATCTTGAAAACAAGTGGAGTCCTTCACTATAAAAGATTACTAGAAGAGAATCTAGTTCAGGCTGGGTTGCCCAAAGATTTGCCTCTGAGTGAGTTTTTGGCTGATAGTTTCCGGAGTCTTGGTATTTTGCCCACTGAAGATTGTGAAGATCGGTCTTTAAATATGGTTGAATTGGAACCTCTCTCCCCCGAACAAAAGAGCCTAGCAAGAATGCGACTCGTGGAGGAGGACGAGGACAAGGAGGTCATTTCAAGTCTATCTTTGTGTTACAAAGAGTTTATTGCTCCTGTTTATGATTTGCTTGAGGAACCTGAAGTCATTATTGTTCCTGACCGCAGTTTGTACAAAGTTCCCTTTGCTGCCCTGAGTGAAAAGAGGGAGCCCAATACCTATCGGTGACTCACAGGATCCGTGTTTTTCCTTCTTTGACAACACTCAAGATCATTCAAGATAGTCCACAGGACTATCACAGCAACACTGATGCCTTGATAATAGGCAATCCCAAGGTTGATTGGCTGCTGCCATTGCCATGCGCAAGAAAGGAAGCGGAGATGGTTGGACGACTGGTGGGTGTTCCGCCTCTAGTAGGAGAGAAGGCAACGAAGCAGGCGGTGCTTGAGCGGATAAGTTCAGTGAGCCTGATACATTTTGCTACTCATGGTAACGCCGAAAGAGGAGAAATTGCCCTCTCCCCCGTTCCTACTTCCAACAGCGGAAACGCTACCCAACCAAAGGAAGATTACATGTTGACGATGGCCGATGTCTCACGAGTGAATGTCAGAGCCAAACTGGTGGTACTTAGCTGCTGTCACAGTGGAAGTGGAGAGATAAGAGCCGAGGCAGTTATAGGAATTTCCCGTGCGTTTTTAGGATCCGGAGCTCGCTCGGTGTTGGTTGTGCTGTGGGCCATTTCAGACAAAGCAACGGAGAAGCTGATGAGTCGGTTCTACAAACACCTTGTTGAAGGAGAAAGTGCCAGTAAATCCCTTCATCAGGCTATGAAGTGGATGAGAAAAAACGGCTTGACTAACGTGTCTGAGTAGGCTTCGTTTACGCTGATTGGAGATGATGTGAGGCTCGAGTTTGACAAGCAAAGGTAAGACTCAGTCCGAAAAGATATTTCTAAATTTGAAGTTAAATTGGATGCGAAGGTGGCTATGGTTTACTGGTTCCTATCTGTGGGCGGTGATCCTTTGTTACCTTGAGCATTAAGGCTACTATGACATCTATATCTATCTATCATCTATCTATCTATCTATATCTATCTATCTATCTATATCTATCTATCTATCTATATCTATCTATCTATCTATCTATCTATATCTATCTATCTATCTATCTATATATATACATATATATATATATATATATATATAAATGAATGTGGAGGTAGAGTCTACCTTAGCATTAAGTGCTCAATGCTGTGGTAGCAGAGCTAAGTATTCATAGAGGACGCATCGATTCTCTGTGACTCTGAGTTTCGCGCCTAAGCGCTCGTCAGACAGAACTTTATTCAATGAAGAACATACCTCCTTATACACAAATTAGATAAGAAGCTAATTAATTCACTAGTGTGATGATCTAATCTACATGTGAAATAAAGATTCTATAGAGCTATTGTTGGCGGCTTGTGAAATTTGCTAAGCAAAACTTATTCTCGTGGCGGCATTTAGAAATGAGTTCTGTTCTTTTGTTCAATTAAGACGGCTTCTTAGCTCTAACTAAATAAAGTTTTTCTGTGAGGCACAAGTAACACCGCTTGCTTTTGTTGCTCTAGACCGGGGCGATCGCCAAAATACTCCAGTTAATTGTAAAATTGGTTTTGTTGTCTTTGAGTGTCCAGATATGCTTTGATAGTTCCGTGCTGTTTGAATAGTTTCTGTTCCGAAAAGAAAGTTTGTGTTGCGTGTAACGTTGTTTAAAAGTTACTTCGGTTAGTCCAAAGTAATTCTTTCCGGTTGTGTCATTTTCTGTAGTTTTCTGTAGACGACGCTTGAAGTGAGGCAGTTGTTTTTTTAGAGGGCAGTCGTTTGTTTTCCTGCAGTTACAGTTGTTTTCTGTGGAGGGTGTCTTGCTTGTCTCGAGGATTTTTCTGTTGTGTTTCTTAATTATGGTTTGTAGGTTGTCTGTGCAGCTATAACTAACTTTTATGTTGTTTTTGTTGAAAATCTTGGTGTACCTGTGGCTTTCGGAAAATGTTTACCGACGAGGTTCAGAAACTCTCTGCCAAGGGGAGATATTTGACCTCAAAGCTGTCAAATATTTGGATGAATCGAAAAGTCTAAAAATACAGCCGTTTCTTTGCCTCTGTTGATTGACAAGCCGTCAATCAAATTGACTGATACTTGTGGCGAACATTAACTAAGGATGGAAAAATATGTGTGCAAATTCTCAGAGTAATTGGTTAAATACCATCGCAGTGAGAGCTTCATACATTTTACCTATTTTGAAGCGAAAATGGCAATTTTGCAAATCTTGAAAAGTTTCCCTCAAAAACTAACAGAACTCCTTATAAAGGTCTTTTGTCAGTAGATAGTGATTGAAATAAAATATTCTGATGGATGTGATCTTTTGGTTAGGTTGAGTGAGGAGTACTGTATGTGGCAGTGGAGGCAGATGGTGCGCCATTTGGCAAGGATGACACAGTCACTGCATACTTAGTTAGCTTTCTCAACCTGCTGAACAGCGCACAAAGTTGTGATGATAATAATTTACTCCTTCGTGCCAACTGTGAAGAAGATCATCCACTCATGAAATCTTACTCAAATCACCTGAGGGAAGAAATGGAACAGATTGAAGAGAAGACATTGACCACTGAGATAGTGGGTTTGTGTTCAAATTTGAACTGATACCATCTGACATGAAATAAATGTCATCCCACTTACGAACTATAGGATATAGGAACTTCTGAAGATCAACTCTCTTTCAAAGGGCTCAGTTGTGAAACTTCACATTGGCATTTGTTGTCGTCGAATTCAGAGACGCAGTTTCTATTTACTCAACAGTCGAGGTGCACATTGAGCAAGTGGAAAAGCTAAAGACCTCACGCCAACACTTTTTCAATGCCAACTGTTTGTTACTTAATGGTGTCACTTCTACTGTGAGGACAGTTGGACACGAAGGGTAACATCTGGACAGGAAGTTTAACATCTGAGGCTTTGCTATGGATTAGGCCTCAATTCAATGCAGGGTAGAGAGGCAAAGCATGTTAAGCTGGCTTAGTATGGGGAAAACAAATGCAATGCCAAAAAGAGCTTACAGCGGTGGAGAGTGTTTAAACACAAATTTGTCCACAAGATGTGCCTGAGAGAAAGGGACCCCAACAGCATTGCTTATTACATCAAAAAGAGGAATATCAGCGATTCTTACATTCCTAGGAGAGTTTGAGATTGTGACCACAGGTTTTGCTATTGTGGACTTTCAAAGTCAACTGTTGATAATGAAGGGTGAGATTTGCTCAAGTGATGTCATGAAGGCCATTTAGCAAAGTGTTGCGGGTGGAAAAATTAGTCCAGAACTCAAACAATTTCTTTAGAATTAGATGTAGGTTATACAACGTTTCTTCCATTATGGTGCAGTATCTGAACAAAGTGTCACTTAAGTTCCACCAACATAACATTAAACTTGATTACACAATCATTTCTACACATACATGTATGATCCAAAAAGAGGCTTGGTAGTTTATTTTGATATTCAACACAGCCCAAGTTAATATACAAAAAAAAAAACATCTTGAAAAATTAATCGGTCAAGTCCAGTTTGTCCACATATGATTAAAACCAATGGAACTAATTAAACATACACCTTTGCATCTGTTTGTTCAGTGCTGCAAGATGCCGCTCACATTCCAGTACCCTTAAATGAAATTTAATGATGAGAACTTCACCACCTAACTGTGCGCCAACAGAGGAGGAAACTTCAGAGGATACCCTCCTTCACTGCCGTTAAAGTCGACCTTCAATAAGAATTTTGCCATACACATTGTGCCGCTTTTCTTTTTACCACAGGAATTAGATGGACCAAATGTAAGTAGGGCAGGGTAAAAACTTACCTTAGATCCAGTTAAATAAAAGAGATCGAACCGATTATATTCAAATTCTTCCATTGATGTTCACACAACAGGAATTACTGTGGATTGCTCTAAAGCTATTGACAGTTATCTCTGTAACAGAAGGATGGCTGAACAGGCATGCACTAATAGTATCTAATAAAACTCTGTTTGTTTTGTTTCAAAACTTTTATAGCTAACTTCTATTGACTTTGATTTTCTATTGCCGAATAAACAATGTTATAATGTGAATGAAATATTTGGGTTGTTGCTAGACTTGAAATTTGTGAGTGTCTTTTGAAAGACCTTCAAATTATTGACAGATGTTTCCATAACATGATAATGAACCGTAGCTGGTTAAGCATTTTCGGTTTTCAGATGAATTTTCATCTTTGTTATGGCTAATTCCTATAACTTGACATGCTCTGCATACAATCAAATCATCATGAGTGATTTGAAATGAAACTGTTTACATTCCGATACATACACACTGATCAGAGCGCTGGATCAGAGGTTAACTTGAGTGTTTCCTACTTTAAAAAGCTCAAACCGCTTGAAATTGGTAACCTTAATTCTCAAGCCTTTTTTTAAATACTCTTGTAATGTATTAGTTACTGATAATTTTTCTTTAATTCTTATTCTTCCTTTATTTTATCTTTAGAATAACTCTTTCCCTGACTGATTTATTTTTTAACAGAATCTAAAATGATTTGATGATCGATAAAGAATATCCTTTTGATCAAACGCAACCTTATTTCACTTTTATAATTAACTTTTGTTTGGTCAGTGCTACACAACAAGTATAACAAGTGCTACACAACAAGTATAGAGTCCACAGATCTCCTCAGGTGAAACACTTGTGCAAACTGAATAAGCAAAAGCAAAGGTAAAACTTTTAAGTTTCTCACTATGTTAATGAACTTTGGGGAAAGCAGAAAATGTTTTTCCATGCACTCACAGACACCTGAGAAATTGCTTGTTGGTTATTGTGCAAATATCATAGTATCCTAACAACAGTCTGATCACACAAGCATTGTGATGCCCTGTATATCTCATTACTTTAATCAAGATTCTCCTGTCAATTGCAAAGCCCAGAGCAAACTTAAGTAAAGTCCAATTTTGGAAACCAGTCAGAACAAACTGTCCACAGTTGAACAAAAACTGGCATAGAACAAAAGTACATTACTATATGATGACGTACTACTGCACATTTCAAATAACCCCTTATAGTTGAAAATACTTCGCTTGATTGGCAAGCATTCCATCAGCTTTGAATAGTAATGAGGATCTTCACAATTTTATGAGGGTGATTCTATTAATATACTAATACAATCGTGCATAGTCATGGTCT